CACATGGCCGAATCTGTAGGTACTTTTTATGTTGTGGCCATCTAGATGTCAAAATTTGATTTTGGTTGGTAGGTTCCTGCAACATTTTAGGAGAATGTGGAATAGTAGAACACCTCTGAAATGTTAATGTGATTACTGCTATCTTGAACTGTCCAGTCTTCAGAAACAATTCAGTAATTTAAGTTATTTTTGTCATTGCTTTTTTATGCTTTTTTTCTTACTGCTTTTTTGTAGGCAATGCCTCTTTGATTACACGTGATATTTTAACAGTTATAGACTGGAACTGAGTTTCAAAATTGTGGGTATTTGTGGGGCCAACTGAGCCAAAATCATCCTGTTCGTAGTTAGGTTGGACATTGGGTGGCTGCTGGGTGGGAACTGGGATGGGATGGGTACTGAAATTGCCAAAGTGTGGCATCTCTTGTAGGGGTAAGCTGGAATCAACATTGCAGTTTTTTTTTAGTATGCCGGTAATTTGGTGGTGTTTTTGCTTGGGTCGTGGTAGCATGCCGGTATCCCAGAAATTTTTTGTGGGGCGGGGCGGTGCCGGTAGCAGCCTTTGGGGGAAATTTTGCAACTCTACTCTGCATCTTCTTTGGAGGATTAACTTTCGTAGTTTCGGCTGCTCCTGATAGGGTCTCGCTTTCAACATAAAACTAAGCTTGTATCAAGCCTGCGCTACGGACAATTTAAAGGAGACGATCCTTAAAAATGGTCGCTTAATTTCATTTGCGTCATAAAAAGAACTTCCATAATTCGGGCAGTGCTGAAGAAGGTTCGCTTCAAAGCTCGCCCCCTTGCTGTCGAACCCGTCCGGAGCTGCCTATCGCTGTTCAGAGAGTAGAGTCTAATTCAACCTATACCCTGAGGCCTGAGTAGAGTTACATATTTTTCCGGTTTTATCGTCTCTTCAGTCCAGCCTACCCCAATACAGCTGGACATTCCGTAACGAGCGATAGCATGATCTAACTAATATCATACTTAGTCACAGTCGACCGCAACTAAATCGACGTTCAGAGCTGAAACAGGCTGACTATGAATCACGCACTGGTAAGAGGTAACCAACTCGACAGCTACACTGAAACATAATCGCCATGTTGACTCATAGCGGGATGTTTTGCACAAAGTGCCGGCCTGCTGCGCGCCCAGCGCAAGAATTTGATATTTTTCAGCAGTTCAGCACGGCACACGGATTACACTATACATAAAACTACAGTCTTAAGTCTTAAGTCTTAACAGCATAATACTATATTTTTATTCAGAGCTGTGTCCGAGCCTTTGAAGCACTTCACACGAGGATGGCATTGCAGCCTAAATGTGATGAAGCTGTTGGTGCACCGTGTCTAATTTCTTGTCCAAATGTGATGAAGTTGTTTCTGCAGCGTGTCTACCAGCTCGCCATGATGACCCTCATTAACGAGCCGTGTTAAAAGCAGGTGGACGACATGCGACTATCATCACGGTACACGATACTGCTCTGTGAGGCGGAGTGGCCTGCTGAAGTGGGGACGTACTCGGGGTCGCCAATGGACCCTAAAGTGACCTCGGGGTCAGAGGATACTCAGCTAGGAGACGGCTGAAAAGTCTGCACATGGTTCTAATCGGTATTAGTAATAGGTAAACACGCGTGCTTCAGATAATGCCCACTCCACAAATGGAATGATAGCTTTCTGGTCAAAGGTCCACAGTTTCATTTACGGGACTGAGCAAAACTCAACTTAAGGTCTCGCCTGAGTCATCGCAAGCTTAAACATTGCTTGCACTAGACAACAGACAGTACCTACCAATTACGTTGTTCCGCTGCATTTCAGCTAAACTGCATTTGAACAGGGTTCTGGATGTCATGACCAGGGTTGTATACCAATCAAGTCGATTGAATTGATTGATTTGATTCAACGCGTATTTTGAGTTGATTGGATTGAGTCGATTGACTTTTCGAGATGACTAGTTGACTGACTCGTTTGACTTTAGCGACTGGTTGACTGATTTGATTCCCGAAAATTAGAGTGACTCGTATGATTGAGTCGATTGAATGGAAAGTTGAAATAAGTTTTAGTTGACGAAAAAATAATGACACCAATTGATGACATCAAAGATCACAAAACTACACTGAAAACTGCTTGTCATCATAACTGCAATATGGGGTAGATGGCCAAATAAAGAACAGGGCCTAAACATGAACAGCCAACTTTGACTTTCAACTGCAATAACTGCTCCAATTCTGTGATAGAACCTGGCGATGCACCTACCTACCTTTCTGCACTCAGCAGGAAACTTTTTTTTTAATCCAGATGATAAAGTGCAAGTCCCTATATACTAATAAAGTGTGATTAATTACTAATTCACATCTCCACATCTCCTCAGAAACAACCCACTGAACTCTATAAATAACCCCCACAAAAATAACTGAAACAAAAGCGCCGTTTTCGTTTCGCTAATTACGTTTACATTAATAGCTAATTTGCTGCATTGTTTAATTTGCAGCAGAACGTTTGTTGATCCTTTTTTCCTGAGAGCCTAGGCATAACATATTTAATATATTTCATTTTCCTTAAAATATTTTACCGAATATTATTAAGTGGTTTTATTTCAAATGAAATAATAATTAAAACGAAATTGGTGTTGTACAACCGATTTATTTTATGACGATCTACCATACTACAGTACATGATAACCAATGACGTCATCTTACCAAAAAATCAAAAGACGTAGATAAGGATTTATAAAAGCTTAGCATACTTCTTGGCAAAACGTTTTCTTTGTTTTTCGCAGTCGCACCAACGGCATTTAATTTTCCTTGTTCTTCTACCTTTGTCCTTAACCCGCGCCCCACTGGGGGGGGCTATTTATAGCCCCCCCCCTCCCGTTTTTCTGCAATAACTTCCAAACCGCTTGACGGATCGACGCCAAACTTTCAGTACCTTCGGCTGCATCAATTTGACACCTTGTGTCAAAATTTGAACTTCGTAGCTACCATAGGTCGGCCGGAAATGACGTCAGAGTGACGTCATGTTCGTCCGATTTCGACGCAAAACATTGAACCACGGCAATCGCTCCCAAGAGCTCAGTTTTTAAGCTAGATCCAATTTCTTTGCATGAAAGAACTCAGAATTGATCGCGCTATCAAACTGCCATCTCGGATTTTCAAAATTTTGAAAATTTCGAAAATTTTATATAATAATATTCAAAATTTATATTTTTATATTTTTTTCAAAAGGTTTTTGACTTTTCGAAAAAATCGGAATATATGTGACAGAACGCATGATTATGACTAACTCTAGCAAGTTTTAGCTAAATATCTTCAAAAATGGCCAAGTTATACGCATTATTGCAAAAAATTCACAATTATTAATTTTTCAAACCAATTTTTTAGTACGTATTTGGCATCGTACACCAATATAAATGGCACCATCGTGTTCCTGAGCTCAAACTGCATCCAATAGACACCTTTTTTGTTGAAAAATTTCAACTTCAAAATTTGACCTTTTTTGACCTGAAAGTGACCTGACCTAAGCTAAATTCGACTCAAAATGACCTCGAATGACATAGACGACATCAAATTCGAAATCTATGGCCTAAATGGACCATAAAACATGTGTCACGTGACCGACGCATGATATAATATTTTCGTGACCTGTGATGACCTGACCCTGACCTGAAAATCAAAGTACAAGTTTGGTACCCTCAAGGTATCTAGAGCATCTGTTCACGAGTGTGGAAACCAAAAATGAGCCTGATCTGACTTGTAAGACGGCGGCCAGAGCCCAAAATGTGAACAAGCCAAAGTGCTAATAATTTTTACTTTGACCTGACCTGTGACGTCATCGGTGACCTCGAGGTCAATGAAATTAGGTTTCGCTCGACAGTTTTTCCGGGGCTATCAGACGCCGTTTGAATTTTGACGATCGGCCCAGTAGTTTCGGAGTTAGGAGGGGGGGGCTATGAATAGCCCCCCCCCCCCCCCCCCCCCCCCCCCAGTAGGGCGTGTTATACACAGACCCCAGTGGGGCGCGGGTTAACTTATCCTGTGGTTCCAGAGTCCCTGTCCTTTCCATTTCCTTTTAATATTTTTAATGCTCATCCCTATCCCCCAGTCCTAACAGTTTCAAATTGTATTGAAATAAAATGTTTTGAATTCTTCACATATAACTAACCTATCTACCTTCGTTGGTACTGTTGGTAGCCAGTGACACATCTAGGCAGGTAAGTAGGTACCTACCTGCTTTCCTGCTGTCTTCATAAAGCATACCTAATGAAGTTGTCAAATTTGTAGCACATTTTCAACGCTTTCATATCAATATGGTGTCAGTGTGGCATGTAACCTAGCTAGTTTCATTATGTTCAGGGTTCAATTCAGAAGAGCTCCGCATAACTCACATAAGAGACAGACTGGGGCTTTACATGGGGTAGATGGCCTGATGACTTAGCTGGAATATGGTCAAAATTAAATTGACAACTTTTAGGTGAAAGGTGGTGATTTGGGTTAAGGGGCGTTTGTTGAAGTCAACTACTGGGTTATTTTGCACCCATTAAATGAAACTTCTGCTCCAATTCTACCCATTGAACCTCAATATCATGATCCACCTGTCCATCTCTAGGTATCCTTCCTTATTACATAGAAACTTTGAATGGCATGGCAATTTATAATTTTAAATGACAATATTTTTGTTTCTTCTGTAGGTAGGTAGGTAGGTAGGTACACCAGACTGCTATGGACACTTTTCCAAGTTGGTGGGGCAAAAAACCTAATGTATATCTTGGTTTGAGTCGTTTGATTGAGTTGATTGATTCCTTTCATTGTCGCGTTTGAGTCGATTGAATCAATTCCCAAAAGCTGCTTTGACTTGATTGATTTGATTGGTTTCCCAAATTTGTCGTGATTGAATTGATTGCTATTGATTGAGTCGTATACAACCCTGGACTCATGACCATCAAATTCAATCGAAACCACCGATACCAAAGCTCTAGAGTGGATGTGTGCGGCAGACTGGCCGACCTACCTTGCGTTTTTTGCGCGATTTTCTGATGGAGAGCCGTCGTGTGAAGGATCCAGGCGGTACCTCCGGCTGGATAACGTGGTGGGTCGGGTACGTCTGGTCCTGTGAACGCAAAGTGAAATAGTCAACGCTGAGAGTAAGGTACATTTTGTGGAAGCAAGGCAAATAAGTTGGCACTGAGAAATGAGAATACGCTTGATCCTAACGACGCAAAGAAAAACAAGTCAGGCGCACGCACTGGTTTATGTTCAATGCCGTAGACGCAGAGAAAAACACGTCAGGCACAGCATCGTGCAACTTTCATCAAGCGGGCGAAATGTAAAGCAGTTCACAACACTGACGCACACAACACATACATAATACATTGGGCTGAGTTGAACAGTAAGGCAGATAATGGAAACTGCATTACATATGCTCCCAAATGTCAAATTATGACAGAGAAATTCTGACCGGTTAGTCAGTTTCGTAAAATCTTGCATCATAGTTTAGGACCAAATGTTATAACTCTTTAAAATGTGCCATCTTTTATTTATTTATAAGAAATATGTAGCTCAGGAGGTTCTCAGGCAATAGGCATTCGTATGGCAGGATGCAGAATCGATTGAACCAGAATGAATTTCTGGACACCTCGACTGTCCAAGCCCGGCCTAGTGTGTGCAAATCCCGCCCGGGACGTGGAATTGGCCGCACCCGTCGCTCTGAATTCGCCGCAGCCATTCACCAGCTGGAATCGATTGGCCTGCTCTCCAGGCCCAGAGAAGGTCAGGGTTGGGCATGCAGTCCGCTGTTCAGACCAATATATTCCCAGCTGGTCCAATGCGCCGGGTAAGCTGAATCAGTGGATCATATAGACACGTTGGATCATTCCGAAACAGGGGGAGGGTGCATACCGCGATAGAGAGACTCGCGGAACAAACAGAGGTCATCTCTTTGACCTCGGTCAAATGAGTCATTTTTTGTGAGATGACATTTCGGCTGATTGTTGGGCGATTTAAATATGCTCAACTCAGACTGATGTAAATTACCATGATGTGGAGGCTATTCTTACCTTCTTTAAGTTTTTATGCCTCGTTATTATTGCTTTTTTCACGGAACACCATAAAACATGATAGACAGCCCTGATTCAGAAGAACGCGATTACATATGCACCTTTTTCAAGACCAAAAAGGACGAAAGGTGCCGTGTAAGGCTGAGCCGTTTAGATGAATGGTTAGCCGTTCGAAAAAGATGTCATCTTAAAACATCTTTAGTTGGAAGAAAACTACGATAAAAAACGTACCTTCACAGAAAAAAAACGCCGACTTTTCTCTAAAGGCGGTTGTCACTCAGACGTGACAGCATAAGCGACCCGTTCCCAAGAAATCCCATAAGCCAGAAGTAACTAAAGGCAGGCTGTGAAAGCCAGAACAGTGTGTTGTAACGGCCTCAACTATTGTGTGCGGTCCCAGAGACCTGAGTCAGCAACGATCGCACGTCAACTCGTTCAGTGGTGGACCGAAGGACAAATGAATTGTTGCACCGGTATGACACCGTTATGTGGGGGATTGTCACCGGTATAGGAAAATAAACGGCACGTGGCGTATATTGTCGCGTAGATCGTGGAGGCCAGGACGGCAGGACGGACCAGCAAAGACGTAAAAGCACGTATTGTGAAGTGACAATTATCATCTGTCCTTCTTACCGCGTATGATCGTATCTTATTTATTTGTCGGAAATCAATCTCTCTTTTAACACAGCTTTTTTACGTCACATCCTGACGTGCAACGATAGTTAACTACGCATTACGAGATCCACAATCCACACCTACGCGTGGATTCGGATCCATTGACGACTTTCCTGTGGAGCCGCATATTCGGATCCAATAACGACTTGTTAAAGAATGTTGCGTAACTGGCGAAGGTAAGTTTTCATTCATTCAGCATCAGATAAGTCATTCATTCCTTCATTCAGATTACGTAACAGACAGAAAAGCTTATCGCGATATTACAATACCGACAAGTTGTTCGATAGCACTCAATCGCACTTCTCAAGGACCACCCAACAAGTCAAAACGTAGTAATCAAAGAAAAGCAATCACTGAAAAAAGGTCTCCTGGATCAATCAAAGACGACGACCAAAACAAAAACGGCCCAAGCGTTTCCACACTGCTCACACTGCACAGCAATAAACACTTATCGAGCTAGGGCAAGCAGGGATTCCTACACAAATTTAGACAGGGAAGAACGAAAGTCCTCGGCACTATAAATGGGGTCGCCTCTGCAAGGAGAGGAGATAAATTTAGGCGGAATCGTCTATTGCAGAATCCTACACCACCGTTATCGCCGAGGGAGTCGGCTGTACCGGTGGCCCAGCCCGGCCCAGTTCGGCTGGTCTGGTCACGTGGTCAGACCAGCGGTGCCGCCGGTCAGGTCACCACACAGACACGTGGGTTCAGCAGACGAGTGGGCACCCCCGCAGCGCGTGACGGCGGCCACGGGCGGTGTTTCACGCGGCACACGCTGCACCGGCACGCAGCAGTAACTCACGCACACAGTGCACAGTGCACACGGCGACCGCCATCAATTTATTGGCCAGCATACCTGAGTGGAATACTGGACACACTACAAAGCTTAAATGCCTTAGGTAACAATCGATCTGCGCAATAAAATGATAGCTATCGCCTATCAAGAAGCCACATTTTCACAAGTTAATACTGGCAGTTTGTAAGGGACCACATAATGATATAGTTTAAAGTAAGCAAAACGTTAGTAAAAACTGCAAAAAAGGCATGAAAAGGCATGAAAAGGCAAAGGCATGAAAATCTACGCTTTATTTCCAATGTGCGATATTTCCAAAGAAATGCAAGTGGGAGCTGGAAAAGCAGAAAACTTGCTTTCCTTTTTGAAACACGTATTCGAAGATTGTTAGATTAAAAATTATTTGGTGTCGCACCGATTTTTTCTACGCTTCTGACCGTCGCCGTTCAACTTCTCTCAGAGAGTGCTGACGCCCGCGGTATTTGTCCGACACAGTTCACTGGTCATCGGCTCGTTAGCAGTGGTCCGCTTTTCACGCCAGAAGTGGCGCACGTCACAAAATGCTGCGCGAAGGAGCGCATACCGCAACGTCACGGCGCGTCACATGTGTCCCAATATCGCCAGAAACGTCACAGCGTTATTAATTAAATGTCAAAAATGTCGAGAACGGTCACGGTAGTCTGGAAACTTCAGACAGATGTCAGTTGATAATATGTCAGCAATGAGGAACATATCATCAGTTAAAATACATCTGCCAAGAAATGGACAGGGCCTGACGAAACAGAATTAGAAGCCACCTTCGAAAAGCGCTTTTTATTTCAGATCAGTGGTAGCGGGCGCTTCGGTCAGGGCTCATGGGCGGATTTTGGATTGGCGCAGCCCCACCAAACGTGATGCAGTTTATCGCCTGCACGCCTAAATAAACCATCTAATTCGGGACAGACTGATGCGCAGACCGCAGACTGCCGACAGAGCCTACCCAGGTGTAGATAGGCCACATTACGTCAATGTGACGTCACAAATCTGGCAGCTCCTGGCTGGTCGAGGCTCAGGCTCGTCTCGGAGCACTTCTGACAGGTAGGCCGCCCCTTCTGTTCCGCCTTCGGCCGCTGTTTCCACACCCATGACGTTGTCCTGACACCACCAATCAGCGATGAGGTGTGACGACATGACCCGTAGCATGGACGATTTTAACGTCACCTTGCGTCAGTTGGCAGACGGTCGCAGCGCGCTGCATCATTGGCAACTTCATTGCATACAATTGGCTCCATCCTGGGCCTGATTGCATTTGCAAGGACAGCTGCTGCGCACTCAGCACACAATACTGTTCAAGCGCTTAGTGTTCATGTCCAAATCTTGTTTTGGTCAGTGATAACGAGAAAGGGATGTAACTTATTCTTATTTACTTTGGGGAATAACAAAGACTAGGAAACAAAAAGGACCGAACGGCATATGTTCATTGCTTCATTAGCCCTTCAGTTTTTGCCAAGTGAATTCAGCTATAACAGCTCTTCAACAAAACTGGGATTGCGTAAGCCCGTTTATCTCAGTTTGAGAGCCTCTCATGCAAAAAGGAAAGCTAACTACGAACATGTCTCCTTAAAGACGCCTCCTGACTCCTTCCTGATTGAAACTAAATCTCGACAGCCATCGACAAATTTTCGTCGCGGCTGGACTGGAAACTTCCAATGACAGGACCATTGTCTGGCTGTCGGCCCTTCGAAGCGCAACTTTCGCCGTTAGCTGCTATACGGCTCCGCACACACGTCACCAGCCAAGAGAGCAGCCATAAACTCAGACTACCTCCCGTCGAGCCAAGAGAGAGCGGATCCTCGGCAGAGCCCGGTCGACGTCCGCCGCCTCAGGGCTCGCCCCAGGGACAGATACGCCGCCGATTTCTATCTTGCAGACGTGCCGAGCGCGCCGCGTTCGCGACAAATCGACCACCCGGGCGCAGCGTCGGACGAGTGCGTGACCTATCCGATGGAGCGTGACCGATCACACGTGCGTGACCCAGCGACGCCAGACGACGCGGCCGTCCACCGAACTGTCGAGTGCACTCTGGTCATGTGGGCATAATATCACAAATGGCTACACGTCAGTGAGTAGTGACTATACCAATAGTCAGCTCAGTCGCCATTTTGACGTAAAAACACGCATCAGACGGAGGTTTAGGCTTCGTAAACCGATTAATTGGCCCTGTCAAAGAGCATCTAGCCATTACAACAACAATACAACAATCGCGTTGTATCACAACAATCATACAACACGCGTATAGAAGTTGTTTATGATCCCATTCCCAACTGGCATGAAGCAAGAAAATATCAATTTTACTAGGGCCACTCAGCCATTAATTAGAGTCATGTTGCATCACTCCGCCTCTCAGAGAATTCAACTGGAACACACCCGGTCGTCTCTGCTGCAGCCAGCTCCAATATTCAGCACAGCTCCCCGGGCTTTACCCCGGCTCTCTCCAGACAGACAGCAGACGACGACGGCCAACAGACGGCACGGCCCGCTTTTTAACAGCTCCATGATAAACGGCAAATGTCTGGACACGAGCAGACGGGAAGCGCGCCGGACGAG